GAGAGATGCGCGAATATTCCGGAGCATGCGAGCCGCACGAGCCGGAGAGAGTTCAAAAGTAACGGCAGACGAGTTAAGTTGTTCGTGAGGAGCAGTTTGCTTTATTTTGCGTTCCGTTAGCTTAAAGTTGTAACGAGAGGAGAATAAACGTAATTGTGGACAAAGAATTTCAGTTTCTCTAAATTGAGGCCCTCGTCCATTCCTGACAAGAATCCTTCGCGCTTGGTCGGTCCTTCATTGGCGACGTCCCCGTGCCGGGTACGGAAGAACGGACATTACGAACTGAAATCTTACGACTGTATATATTTATACAATGGATTATACACATTATTACGTATATAATTTGTACATAATATTATATACTTTACATTATTATATATGACAAATTTTTTACCGGGAAAAAGAGTTCGACGTGCGGTTTGCAGAATTGGATGCCATGTTTACTGTTTAGTATCGTGTATACTGTAAGTCAGAGCCTTCCAAGTCGGGTACTGCTCTTAATCCCTTTGCCTCTCGTCCGCTTGCCTCTCGTGCTTGTCCCCCACCAACGCTTTTCTATTCGTGGCTGTGCATCGGCGCGGTGACGCGGCGTATCATTTCGTGGTTGTGTTCCAAATTTACTGTCAACACTGAAAATGCTACAGTTTACGTTATGTGCACTATAGATTTTCAGTACTGGCAGTCAATTTTGGAACACAACCCATATAGCAGTTAGGTGGGGTTTCATTGAAAGATAGATATGTATATCGAGAAAGAGACAAAAGCAAAAGAAGCCATATTTATAACTTATTTTATTTTCATTTAGGATCTCTATTAATCCTAAGAGTTATATTTGCATACTTGTATACTTGCTTGCACGGCTCTAAACGCGTGTGGCGGGAAGACTAGAAGGTAGCGTTGGCAGGGGTAAAATTGAGAGAGAGGCCTGCCGTTGAAATCTTGGTGGGGACACGATATATACCATTTGGAAGGCTCTGCTGAAAGTGTTTATTGTTTAGTATCGTGTATACTGTAAGTAAGATAACTAAGTAAATTCCCACGTTTTACACATGTCAAATGATATTAATAACGATACCGATCTAGTGCGGAATCAGTCCTCAGTCATCTTTTAAATATTGCCATCTGTTATTAAAAATATGAAAAGGAAAACACATTCCAAGGAGCGATGACGTATTTTAATATGTGAAAATTTGACATGTCTTTATGTCACAATATTTCTGCTCGTAGGAGAATAAAAACACTTATATTATGATTGGAACACAAGCTATCGATTAGACCTACCCAAAACTAAATTCATTTCAGACGTTATTGAAATTTGATAATCTCAGATATTGGCAAGTCACCGGTTCGTATAAAGAGACCCAGGCGGTCTCGCACTGCGCGTGCACTTGGCGCGAGACACTACCGTGTCTCTTAATTTAAATTTTTTTTAGATTTTCAGTATATTCATATTTTTATATATTAAACATAAAAATTTGTTCTGACTATATTTAATAATTGTTTTTGTTGAAAATTCAAATCTATTTGCCTATTAGAACACAAAATTTTAAACTTTATTATTTTGTTAAAATTGATGATGAAAAAAGAAATTTATTAGTTAGAGATGTGCGATTTTGCATAAATATCGCGATTTTTTTCTTGAATGCAGTGCGATATATAACTGGCTTCTTAATCGCGAAATCGCATGTGATTTAAAATCACGCCTGCGATTTATATTATGTGCTTCTTTAAATCCTTTAAGCCATTCAAACAATTCAACTAACGTGCAGTAAAAATTTTCTATTTTGTAAAGGATTTTTTTCTTTAAAAGCGTATTTATTAGGGATTTTTGCTCTTATACACAGAAAAATATGCTTTATTTGCTGCGTTCTAACAATTAATATTATTTATTATTTGACTGTTGCTCTGAATTTTTAATGCGACAAAAATGGGCAATTGATAAAATCAGGAGACATGGCAGTGTTTCGGTGTATAATATATATATAAAAATAGTGATATAATATTAGGTGTAGTAAAAAGTCATCTCGTATTTTTTTAGCTCAAAGTTATATATACAATATCTTCGTCAATAATAAATGAAATTCAAATTTAAAAAAAGGGTTTTAAAGCTTGAAATCTCTACTTTTAAAAGCTTATCACATTTTTTAAGTTTATATGAGTTTGATAATTTTTACATACCAAAAACTACGAGCTGAAAAAGACGAAAAATTTTCTTCTCACTTTGTGGATTTGTAACGTGTCCAAAACGAATTTGAGAAAATTTTCGATTACATATCGTGAAAGCTTGATACTTTCCCTACAAAATTGTTTTTTTTAAATATTCCTACGACTTTTGATTACTGAGTTATCGCGGATTAAATAAAAGAATTATTTTGATTTTAATTGCTCATAACTCCATTACAAATTGTCGTATTGTATAATTTAAAAAAGAGATTTTTAAAGCTGAAACTTTACTCTATCAAGATATATTTATATTGTTGCTAAGAAAGTATTGTAATTGCGGTTTTTACTGATAGATGTCTTTTAAAAAAACGCGATGACTTTTTACTACACCTAATATATATTCCGTTCACTGCAATGCACAATTTTGAAAATCGCACATCCTTATTGTTAGTATTATTTGTTTAAATAAATGAGTTTACTTTTTAAATTTTAAACAATTAATATTTTTGGTAAATATAAAGTCAACCTCTTCAAAAATCAATGAAAAATCAATGTTTATCTGGATATATCTTTTTGATGAATAATTTTTTAATAAATAATGAATGATGGCTAAAATCTTTCGATTGTTATTTAGGATCATAACTCTGACATATGTTGTCATGATTATGACCCTGACAATCTAAACAATCAAAAGGTTTTAGACATTAGTCGTTGTTTATTAAAAAATTATTCATAAAAAATATGATTACACAGAACATTTTTTTTATTTATTTTTTATAATATATAGTATTTTATATGATAAACTTTTGAATGGAGAGGACTTCTCATTATAGTTATTATCCTAAATGATCTTCAACAGGTTTTAACCGTTGCTCGCTGTTTATTGAAACATTATTAAGAACTAATTTATATTCCCTTCCCTGCTAACGTAATGATTTTCCACGTAAAGCAAAGGCCATTCCTTTTTATGCTTACTGCAATGAACGATGAGCGATGAGTCATATTCAATGAGAGCTGTTTTATATCATCACGTAAGAAAAAAACATAGTTTTTATCGCTTGTCGCTCATTGCTCATCGCGTCCAGTATGCAGTAAGCATTACACGGCATAACGACTTTCTAGACAAGGGTATGGGATGGACCTCACTTCGCGCAGAAAGTCGTATGCCCCTAGGTAGGAAGGAATGTGGTGTGGATATCGTTTTGCATAGAAAGTCAAACGACCATAGGCAGAAGAAGAGTTGACTTTGCTTCGCGTGAAAAGTCATTACGCGGGAAGGATGTGAAATAGTTTATAACATTATAGAAATAGGAAAATGTTATTTCTTAAATTTTTTTGTTAATAACTTTTTGATGAATAACGAGTGATGGCTAAACTTGTGTTGGAGGTCACTCAGGGTCATGATTTTGACTTTTGAAGGAGTTGATTTAATGTGAATATCTACCACATTTTTTATTCTTTTTACAATTCTTTAAAAATATATTAATATATTTAAGTAAATTTTATGAAAAATAACACTTAAACATTGAAATTATGATTTAAAGTTAATACTTATTTAATTTATATATTCGATTTTGTGGATAGAGACCAAAAAGGTGAACCCCTCAGTTTTCTTATCGATTGACATATTACTGTATTTTGATGTTCTGATTATGAATATGATAATAAAAATTGTGGATAAGGTCATTTTCAAGGTCAAATATATAAAAAACTATTTTTTTTTCACATTTTTTCGTGCGTTTCGCATGGAAAGTTATGTGCCCCTAAGCAGAGGAGGAAGTCGCTTTACGTGAAAGACGTACGCTTCTAAGCAGGGGGGAGGTGGGATGGAAATCGCTTCGCGTGAAAGTCATGCACCCCTAAGCAGGAGGGAAGATGGAATGAAAGTCGCTTCGCGTGGAAGTCATGCACTCTTGAGCAGGGGAGATGGAATAGGAGTCGCTTTGGGTGGAAGTCATGTGTTCCTAAGCAAGATGGAAAATGGGGTGGGAGTCGCTTCGCGTGGACGTCGTGGGCTCCTAAGCAGGGGGGAGGTGAAGTGGAAGTCGCTTCATGTGGAAGTCGTGCGCCTCTAAGCTTCCCTGCCACTCGACAGCACATAATGGCAAGCATGCTAGTAACGGAGTAGTGACGCTTAGCCAGATTGTGCGGCAAATGACCCGTCAAAATGTTCTTGGTAATTTTCATGATTGTATTTGTCATCATCAATAATCAGCACACCAAAATACAGTAGTATAACCAATCGACAATAAAATCAAATGATTTACCTTTTGAAACTCCACCCGATTTTGTTTATTCGTTATTAGATTGTTTTCATTGTTCTATTCTTTTTCAGAAATTTTTTTATTTTAAATATACAGTGATAAGATTTAATTTGAGTCCCTTACTGCAATCATTGACAACATGATTTAACTGAATTTAAATTTGATTACTGTACATCATATAATATTTCATAAGAAATTATTGGTTCAGTGTAAAATTAATGATAGAAAAAACAATATAATATTTTATTTGTGTAAAATTTTAAAATTTTATTTGAATATTATGTTTAAATATAATTTTATTGTAAAAGTTTTAATTGTTCAAATATTTTTTATTGTTTAAATATTAAGAAGTTTTAATTTTTTATTGTCTAAATAAAAAGGTTTGATATTTTATTAAATTTAATTTAATTAAAAAAAAGTATCAACATTTCTTTTTTTATGCTGATAATAATTATCACTAAATATTGACAAATTTTTTCTAAAATAAAAATAACGTATAAGTTTATAATATGTTGTAATTTCATATAGTCTTATTCAAATCGTTTAATTTTTAATTTTAATATTTGTTTATAGGTACCACCGCAAATTTCAGTGACAGATGTTCTTGGAGGACAAGTGACGTTAATAAATTGCTCGCCTTCTCCGTCTCCATCGCCGGATTCACTCGAAGATACATTACCTCATTACAATACTCTTCCGAGTTTTATTATTTCAGAGCCGTGCGATCCTTCGAGACCTAGTATAACACGCGGTATCGGTAGACCACACAATACGATAGCTACCGAAGTCGAAGTTCCTTTATCTGATGAGTCAAGCAGATTAAATTCCGAAACTATATTAGGTCGTGTTAAACAAATAATAGATGCAAGAGCGCCACCAAAAGGTTTTATATTTTCAAGAGAGGAAGTGAAAGGTAGTGGACTTAGTTTAGAATATCCAGGTGGTGTACAAATTGAACTTAGGGTATTTGAATCGGAAGAAAGAGAAACGAAAGGAATAAAAATGCGTAGGATTAGTGGGGACCAATTGCAATATAGTCAACTTTGTCAGCAATTGATTTCATGTATTACTGTTTGACGACAACCAGCATATAATATATGTTTTTTCATACATTACGTTACATTCCTAGTGTATCATACACTATTCATTACAGTATTGCATATACTGCATATACACAAATGGTATTTTGAAATTACTATCCTTTATATATAATAACATTACTGTGTTATTATATTTGTGTAACATTTAATGTATTATACGGTTTTTAGTGTTTGTTTCAAGAGATACATACCATCTACTTATACAAAAATTTATGAAATTGTAAATAAAGAAATATATTAGTTATGTATTCATATCTTTTCTGAAACATTAAAATGTTGTGTGTGTATGTGTGCGTATGTGTGTGTATGTGTGCGTGTGCGTGCGTGCGTGCGTGCGTGTGTGTATATTTAATAATTCCCAAAAGCATAAACAGTTTAATTTCTTTATTTTTTTAACTACAGCAGATGTATATTATAATATATAAACTTGTGAAATTAAAAAATAAATATTTAAAATATTAAAAATTTGTTCATTACAGAGAGAGTATTAAAAATTAATAATAGTATCCAGTGTAGGTGTAAAGAATGACTCACTATTTCATTCATCGTACGTATAATCTTTTCACATTAATTTAACACATGTATACTGACAAAGGGAACCTCAGAAATATTCATCGAGTTTTTTTATGCTATTTTTTTTGGTAATTTTTTTGAAGTAAAAAAATATACATGTTGTGACGTTTATCAACGGCTTTATTGCGGCTTTGTTTTCGAGTTAAAAGTTTTTAAAGGTTTGAACGACCGCTCCGACGAATTAAGTTTGCATTTGAGATTCACCAACTTTTCTTTTTCCTTAAAATATGTGTTTTGTTTATTCGTTACATCTTTCAAACAACTAAAATATTGATATGATAATACTTTCTACAAAAACAATATTAAAAAAAAAAATTAATTTCGCAAAAACTATTGTATTAACGGCACGTGCGTTTCTGAGACGGAGTCTCGAATGCTCTATTTATTGCAAAGAGACGTTTTTTTTTGCAAAAAAGCGCAAAATATAAATAAGATAATTTATTAAAAAAAAACTATTCCTGATAAAATTCGAACTTGCGTCTTTTGATTTACGAAGCAAATACTTATATTTTGGATCACTCAAAGTGGTTGAAGTATTTTGTAATGGAACGGCTCTCTCTCTCTTTCTCTCTTAAACGCGGAGGTGGACAAAACGATAGTTCAATACTCAGCGCTTTACGTGCACAAACAATACTAAGTTGATGAAACAATTAAAAGCTAAAAAAAAAGATTTATATCGATCAGAAAATAACGTGTATACAAACGCTGAATGAAGACTCGGAATGGTAAACAAAGCAATAATAATTGCATAATTGTATCTAGCAGTAGTAGGTATTCGATCTTGCAAGAGAGTATTGCAATATGTTAGATAAGGACAGATGTATGCGTTTGAGTGAGATAGAACGATAATGTAAGAAATGAACTAAGAAGGTCACTATTGATTTTTTTGATTTGGAATTAAAAAAATTTGTATTACTGAACATTGATCAAGTTCGGCGGTCACTCCAGCATCCTCTTAAGGAGGTATGGTCGAAAAATTAAAATACTTCGATCTATCTAAAAATTATACAGAATATTATTTAAAACGAAACTACTCAATGAGAAATGATAATGGAATTGACAACGAATCGATGTCGATTCGATGACATCGATTTCATTTTCATTTCTCACTGGGTAATACTATATTAAAATTTCAAACCGATTGACAGTGTAATTTTTAAAAAAGAAAGAGCTAAAGTTTTATGCATATATATGACATATGCATTGAATGATTGATATGTTATATAATTATTTATTTTTAAAACGCTTCGATCCACATATAAAATATATACATAGTTAGAATAAATCTTTTTTTTACATCCTTGCAAGAATTTTAACTCTATTGACCGTGTAATTTATTTGTATACAAGTAAAAAGCTAATGAAAGCCTATTTGAGCATTTAAAGAAATATACGCGGAAAACTTGGCAACGCGGTTGATTAACATTACGTTAGATTGCGGCTTGCTTTATCTGTCCTTTATGTGTCCTGTGACACATGTGTGATGATTGAATATACCAGGTGTACAAGTATGAAATGCGGATTTGAGAAAATAGATGGCGCATCAATGCAGTGTGTGGTATAAAGATTTGACTGTTATGCCATTTTGAAGTGCCATCAACAAGTATCAGACGCGCACGAGTGATAAATTGAAAAAGTATTTGCATAGTGTTGTGTTGCTGTGTTCGATGTGTCGAAATTTATATCAAACAAAGAGCATTCGCGGACAGCCTTAAATTTTTTGTTTTCATTTGAAGAAAACTGCTGCTGAATCATACCGATTACTTCGAGAAGCTTATGGTGAACGTGCTCCATCGCAAGATACGTGTGAACGATGGTTTCGGCGTTTTAAAAGTGGTGACTTCAATGTTGCAGACAAGGAACACGGAAAACCGCCAAAAAGGTACGAAGATGTTGAATTGCAAGCATTGTTGGACGAAAATGATTCACAAACACAAAAACAACTCGCAGAGCAATTGAGCGTTAATCAACAAACTGTTTCCAATCGCCTACGAGAGATGGGAAAGATTCAGAAGACCGGAAGGGGGTACCGCATGAGTTGGACGGCAGGCAGATGGAGAGGCGCAAAAACACATGTGAAATTTTGCTTGCACGATACAAAAGGAAGTCGTTTTTGCATCATATCGTTAGTGGGGATGAAAAGTGGATTTATTTTGAAAATCCCAAGCGTAAAAAATCATGGGTAGACCCAGACGCACCATCCACATCGACCGCAAGACCGAATCGCTTTGGCAGAAAGACGATGCTCTGTGTTTGGTGGGACCAGAAGGATGTGGTCTATTATGAGCTGTTAAAACCTGGTGAAACGATTAATGCTGGACGCTACCAACAACAATTGATCGATTTGAACTGTTCGCTGCTTGAAAAAAGACCAGAATACCAAAAGAGACAACACAAAGTCATTTTTCTTCATGACAATGCTCCATCACATACGGCAAAACCGGTTCGCGACACGTTGGAAGCACTCAGCTGGGAAGTTCTACCCCATGCGGCTTACTCACCAGACTTGGCTCCTTCCGATTACCACTTGTTTGCATCGATGGGTCACGCACTTGCTGAGCAGCGCTTTGGTTCGTACGAAGATGTGAAAAAATGGCTCGATGAATGGTTCGCGGCAAAGGGGGAAGATTTTTACTGGCGTGGTATCCAAAAATTGCCCGAAAGATGGGAAAAATGTGTAACTAGCAATGGAGCATATTTTGAATAAAGCTCTTTTTATCATTCTTTCGAATTTAACGTGTTTTTTTTTTTTGGAAAAAAATCCGCATTTCATATTTGTACACCTGGTATATGTGCTTGCTTATAACCTATTGTTATGTTTTTAACTATAAAATACGTATATCAAAATAATATTTTAACCTCAATTGTCAATTACTAGTGGCACTAATCAATTACTAGTGTGTAACTCGAGTAGGAATGTCAACCTCATTTTCAGAATGCAATGTTGCTAAGTTATTGATAATCATTGAACACATTAAATTACTTGCATTTTATAATAATAGAATATTAATATTATGATTCATAATTAAAAATTAGCAATCATTTAATTTTAATAAATCATAAATTAGCCTTTTTTATTATTAAAGCATTTTTATACATTATGTTGGTATTATCAATGTAAAATAATAGCGTACCCTCCTCACTTACCCCAAGTGATCGATCGTACATCCTTAATCAAAAATAAATGACAAAAATTTGTATTATATTACGTACATATTACAATGAAAACGTAACTTCAGTAATTACCATGAGTACTTACTAGTGAATTTATTAAAATTTGAAAGTAAAGAACAAAAATAAACATTTATTATTACTAGTAAATACATATACTAACTACATTTAATTAAAACATACTGATATAAATATTTTGTAAATTGTAAATCTCTTTAACCAATGATACATTAATTGAATCGCATGCAATGTGATATTTTTCATTTAATTGAAATAAAAAACAAGGGTGAATCTTTTTTTAAAGAAATCGGGAGATACGGTAGTATCTCGTGCTAAGACACGCGCAGCGACATATCAGCGCGAGACCGGCCGTGTATCTTTACGTGAACCGTCGAGATTTTCCAGACCACGATTATGGGATCTTAATATAATTATACAACACCGAAAGTTTTCAGAAATATTTCAATTGAAAAATGAAACATTCCATAAAAATTGCGAAATATGTCTGCAAAATTTCTGAGAGCTCTGGAATAGTAAAATGTCCGCGATTGTTGCATATGAAACCTTGTTGAAAGGTTATTAAAATGTTACAGAAAGAATCTGCAATCTTCTTAAAATATTACCAAAAAGTTACGGAAATAGTTGAAACCTTTTGGAAATATTGACCGTAATCCTCTCAATGATCTGAAGTACTTAAATAAATTTAAGAGTTAATTAAGAGTTTTGTGATCTATTTATAGATTACAAAACTTGTACATTGGAAAAAACTTAAAGTATTTCTCAAAAATGGTAATTAAATTTATTATATTCAAAAGATTGCAAGTAACTAAAACATTATAATAAATATTATATATAAAATAGTATTTTCATTGTATGATTTTATTT